TCAGGGAGCTTTTAAGTTATTCTGACAACACTGCAGCAAACAAATACTTGACAATAAAATATCGTCTTTTTCCATCTTTTTGTAGGTAGTGACTCCTTTAATCGACTGTGATAGAATGCATTAACCAAAACAATAACGGAGTTGGCTCTGATTTTTTATAATGTTTTGAAACCTTGGATAAAAGAAATAATAGATGAAGTATTTCATTCATAACGTATCATTTGTTTGGTACCAATCATTGGAAAAGAGAAAGGATATATATAATGCGCATTGAAAGAAGACAGACTGTAATCCCAGATCTCGTCTGGCAACGCTGCTGTTATACGTAACTAAAAGTCTGTCGCTACTAGTAGCGTATCTTATTAAAGATAAAATCATAACTTCTCGATTTTTGTGCGAAAAAAGATTATTAAAGTGGAGTAAATGCTAATTTTTTGTAAGATAAATATAAAAAAATAAATCATGAAATACTAACATATATGGTGTGCAAACTTTATAATGGTTTAAACTTTAAAACCTATTGGATTTGGAATAAGGGTATGCAGTTGAGTGGAATGTAGGTAAAAAACTTTCAAGAATAATATAATATTTATTACATAAAGATGTTAAACAAAATTAAATACAATAAATAAAATAAGAACAAGATAAATAAATCAAAATTTATTTTAAACTAATTTACGAGTCCAATTTTGGAGTTAATTTGAACAGTTTTGCAAATTGGTAATATAAGTGATTTTTAAATTAAAATTTAGATTTTTTAGACTTATAAATTTATAAAAGTTAATAAATCAATTAAATTTACCATATATAAAATGGGGATTTTAAATGGAACGTTACTTATAGCTGGCGATAAAAATTTTGTAAACTCCAAAAACACGTAGAACTTTACAAAAATAAACCTGCATTATTGCTAGGTGTTGAAAAAACTTTCGATTTTATTTGAAGAAAAAAATATTATTCGTTTCTAAACAATACTACTTTTATATTTATACTTCCTATTCTACTTTTTTTTAAATATAAAATTCTTTTGTGGTCTCAAAATGAATGCGAATATTGAAATAATATTTTAATATCAGCTTTATCATAACTAGTGCAGGATTTTCAAAAATATCGTCATCAAAAATGTGATCTAGAAAATTTGAATATGTTAAATTCTAAATTTTTTATAGTTTTTATAATTAATACATCCAAAACCTTCAAAAAAACCGAGCATGACACTCTTTTTTGGATACCTTCATTTCCACCAAGTCTTACAAGTGAAATATTTTTTGTATGCCTATCAGTTGGGAATCTAAAAATCAAGCATATGCATATTTATTTTACTCCAGACTAAAGTGCTACCATTAGTAACCATTTTTACAAAATTAATAACGTTGTAATATAAAAAAAAATAAATAATAGTTAAACAAAGGTAGATAATAATGTGATATTACGGCAAAAATCTTTAAATTTACATCACTGCACAATGCAATACATCACCTAATCTTACCTACTTATGAAATTACACTTCAGCACTCACATTATCCAGTTTTTTGCACAAAATGCACTCGCAAACCATGTTGTTAACTATACACTAAAACTATAAGTCGAAATATTTCCAAAAAAGTCTAAAAATCAACAAAAACACTCGATATGGAACAATTTACTGTAAGGCAACGTCGCAAACTATTGATCGATGAAATACTATACGTGACGTATTGAGGGATCTTTAAAATTATTCATCCCGTCATAAATAAGTGGTCATAGTTAAAAAGTGTTAAGTGTGTGACATTTTAACGTATGTAGTGCAAATGAGGCGCTACTTCCACCTTTTTTTTAAGTGTATGTGTCAATACAATGTTCTGTTAGATTTTCTTATAATTTAAATTTTCTGTGTTTCCATCTTTTGTGTTGTTGACAAGAATGTTTTTTAGCATTAGTAAGTGCCGGGTATCCGATAGGTCCTTTCTACTTGAAGAATATTATCGTGATACCAATTTTGTATCTTCTGGTGTTTTCTACCTGACGTTTCGTTGACCTAGGTAAAAAAAAACTAAGGACAATTTCCAATAGCGTATGTGTGGGCGCATGTGGGCGGTTGCTCCTTTAGCATGCGACAATTGCGACCTCCACATATGTGTGGACTGAGTCTTGTACCTACAAAAATGCTAATTGCGTGTGTGATGTGTGTTGTGTGTTATGTGATGTTATTGTATGGTCTTGTATTGTGATTTTTTTAAATTATTAGTACTCGTATATTCAAAAGTGTGTGAAGTTTAATTAAGTGTATGGCAGTCAGTAGAAAGAATAAACTCACCCCCGTACAATAAATGTATCTTGCTCATGCTGCTGCTGCTGTTGTACTTGGCTATTCAGCCTATTACAGGCTCTGCTGTGGTCTCTATCAGAAACTCTGTTCCATCCAGATTTTCTTTTTTTTTTTTTTTCATCTCGGGCTATTCTATTGGGGTCACCAATGTGGGATCTTTAAAATTATTCATCTCATCATAATAAATGGTTTTGCTAAGATGTATAAGATATATTTGAATTCGAAGAACAAAAAGACATGTCTTGTATATAAAATATAAAAGTCATAATATCATGATGATCAATAATAATTCTTAGCAACCGAAGTTGCTTAGAGGATGAGTTTATCCTTTGTCATACTAGGACTGCCACAAATTGAGGGGTTGGCTAAAAAGTGTTGTGTTACATTTTAACGTATGTAGTGCAACTGAGGCGCTACACGTATAGTATAAATGAAACAAGGTTATTTTCAATTGTGCTGGTGTCACGTTTAAAGCTTTTAAAATCCATGTATTTATTTGCAGGCCTATTAATGGTGTTTGCCATAGTTTAACTTAGTATTTGCAAAGTTATTAAAAAGAAAAAACGATAGATACAAAAATACTAAGCATAATATTCTAAAAATAGGTGCTGCTAAAATATCAAGTCTGCTGAAAGCAGTTAAAATAGCTTAATGTACTTCGTACACATTTTATACGTTTTTTGTTTTGTTAGAAGTCATTTTATTTAGAATCACAATGCACTAGATAGGAAAATGAATTGGTGGAGACACTTGATGTGTCGCAATACATCTCGAAACTCATCTAATTAATAACAGTTGTTGCTATTAGTGATTTATAGGTAAAAACTATTTCTAAATATGATAGGGCAACGTATGTCGGTTCTTTTACGAAATCGCTACGCGCTACGTTTCTTTGCAATGTATGACCGGGTTTAGGTTTAAATGTAAATAGAATAGTTTTGTCTGAAACTAATTTTCAGACATAGGACAATCCATTTTTTATGGTAATCTATCGTTTTCTTTTACCCAATTATTAATAAATCATCCGAAAAATCCATCGGTGCTTCCAATGTGGTTATTATTTAGCGATTTCCTCTTCGTGTTGTTTTTTTTAATCCACAAGAGACCTCTTCCATTAAGGCTTGTTTTTTAATTTTGATAGAGTTATCTTGTCAAATTGCTGTTGCTAATTCTTTGCGTCCGCTGTTTTCTTTAAATATTTAATTCATGTAACATTTTTTGCAGATGAAAATATAGAGTGAGGCTATTTTCTATTTCTGAGTGTAATTTTTTAAATGTAAGAATTTAATTTTGAAAAATAGAAATGTACCATTTGCCCTATTATATTCTTTACCCGAGATTCAATAAAGGTCTTGTTTCTTCCTGGGGGCTATCTTCTTTAATAATGTTATACACTGTCCGCTTAGATATTCCAGTATAATAGATCTCTCATTTAGTGGCTATTTCATCCACAAAAAGTAAAACAAAATATTTTCGAAGATTATTAAATACATTAAGTATGATATTTATATCTTCCGAAGATAATGTTTTATATCCACTAGGTTCTTTAAACGTGCTTGCAATATTTTCTACTGCATTTGCCATTCTTAGATAACTCTAAAATTTTATTATATACTAATACAAAATTCCGAATTAATTAAAATATATACGATACGGCTATGAATAAATAAAGTCTGATTTATCTGTCAAAATAAAAGGTTTATTACAGTAACAACCATGGAAACATGATTATATCTAAACGAAAACTTTTATTAGGCCGATCAGAACCTTGTAGCAAATAATCAGACAATATAGAAGGCGACAAAGAAACTTAAGAGACTGTACACGTGTATACCGCCCATTCGTAATTTAAATGACGATTGAGCCAGCTACAACAAAGTAAGAGCAGATATGTTTGCTTATTTCAAACTCAACTAGGAATTTCTGATGAAGAAGTGAAAAAACTTATCGAATCAGCATGCCAAATGTTTATCCATATCAAAATTGCTACCGCAGAAGTCATGAAAGAACGAAATTAATCATAAAAGTCCCAGAATATTGCTTAATCTCGGGCCAAATATTAAAACAACTTCTTAGTAAGGTAACCCCTTTCATTGCAGTTATATTCAGTCATATGCTTAGTTTATCCTATTTCCCCATAATATGAAAATTAGCTAAATTATCATTGCTCGATGTGTAATCTCGTATTAGAAGTTATTATTTTTTGTTATTTTTCTACTATATTTCCTTTGTATATATTATATGTAAGATTAGGAGCAATAATAATATTATTTGCATATCAGAAAACAGCATAATAAAATCATATCTTACAATCCCATTAGTCTGATCTCATCTGTAGGTCAAGTTTTTGAAAGATTGTTGCTGAAATGGATCTACGCAAATCACAACTCTTTAACAATATTACCACAACACCAGTTTGGCTTTCGACAAGAATATTTAACCAGTCAACATATCTACAAAATAGCAAACTATACTTAATTGTATATTTAACCTAAAATATCTTAATCCAAAAATGCTTTATAAGAGAGCAAGAATTCTTTTAAATTGGTGCCATCAAATCAATTTCATATATAACATAAAATCAATATCAAAATGTTCTAACAATTAGTATGATTCCAATATTGCACACATTTACATTGTTATTCCTTTTAAACTAGATATTTGATTTAATATGTAATTTGATTTGTTTCAGACCAAAAAGCGGCTCCATGTTGTTATACAGCAGAAAGAAAGTACGTTACCGTCGAGACGGTTACTGTTGGAAAAAACGGAAAGATGGCAAAACTACAAGAGAAGATCACATGAAGCTAAAAGTCCAAGGAACCGAGGTAAGCTTATATATCATATTAATCAACAGTATTATTTTCCTAAATATCTGCATTTTTACTGAAAATATTATTCCATAGAAAGATTTATATCACGTTGAAAAATAAACTGATATGACACAAAGTTTAAGCTTACTTTTAGTACGTTTCTGCTTTAACCACATACCTATAAGCCGCTAGATTTTCTATTGAAATTCATAAATTCCGAAGAAAAATGGACAAACCAACTTTTTAACTGGAATATTACTGGAATATAAAATACAAATTTGATATTTAAAAGTTGAACGAAAGATTATATTCAATATTTACATAGCCGTAAAGTAAAATGAGATCCGGTAATGTCTGAGATTGGACGCATTGAATTGCGAATGAGAATATCATCGGGATTAAAGTTGAGGAAATGAAATTCTTCATTATTTCTTGTTCATGTGATATTATCATGATTAAAACTGGATTATTTTATATTAAATTAATCCAAGGCAATGGTCTAGGAATAGACTAAGGCGTTCTCAAAAGGAGGGGCGAAAACAATTTGACATTAATGAGTATTCGAATCAAATATCGAGATATTTTAATATAAATCCTGGCCGCAAAACAGTTTTAATAGTATATTGTTTTACAAGTCATCAAAATGATTTTCGATGACTTAAACACTATATTTTTTGGATCATGAACTAATATATAAATAAAAAAACATAACCAAAGGCTTTATTTTGTATAAGTAGAAACAAAAAATTAACTATTAATTTTTTAATATTTTACAAAGTGATTTGTCTTTTAAATGTTATTTGATTATTATATTAAATTTAAACAATTGTTAAAAATCATGGGTATCACTATAAAGCCTTTTACTTATTGAGATAGTTGGTGACTAATTTTTTCTTTTGTTAAATGTCATTCCGGATGACGATGCGTCATAATCGGATGAACTTGTATTTGTTTTCTTATTTTGTACAGATTTTAAAATATTTGTCTGTATTTTTACTGTTGATTGATTCATCAATAGATATATCCTTCCACTACAGTATTATATTTCTCACCACAATACTTTTTTAACTGAAGCAAGTCCTCTTTTACATCTACTAATACTTTTGTAGATGTCCTGCGAAAACAGTGCCCATAGAAGCGCTTCCCTACACTTTGAAATTTCAGTTTACAATGCATAGAAATTAATATTAAATTAGGTACTATATTTTCTCTGAAACATTACGTAAACTTCGTAAATGTACTAACAATACATTGGTGTAATGTGTAAACGCACGCACGCACGCAAGCGAAGTTTTTAAGTTATTAATTAAATATATAAAATGTTTTTGTGCCTTGTACATTAAAATCTTCAATGTAAAAACTTATATTATGCGAAGTTTGAATCTGAAATTTTTTATATAAATTAGACTAAAACTTATTAGCTAATTCGTAGTTTATTAAACTTTAAGGACTACCAGTATCTATCAGAAAGATTGTTTCAACTGATATATATAAATGATTAATTTTTATTAAGTTTTTTTACCGTTCGTCGTGGCTTCTGAAAAATTTACATGATTATTTAAATGTCCATTATTCTGAATAGAATTATCAAAATCCCAATTATAATTTTCACATTGATAATTTTGATTAAAGAATTAATTTTCAAAATCAGAAGGCTAAGTATTATTAAATATTTCCATATTATGTAAATGTAGTGCAAAATTTCTAGATCTGTTTGATTGGAAATAATTTCGATTATTGTTTAATTTTAGATTGTTATGTTTTTAAAACTAGTAGACATTGGTTCGGTTTAATAAGGAATAACAATTATTATAATTCTACATATATTAATAAGTTTGCCGGTGCTGACGAAGCAGGTCGAAGTCAGGCTTGCAAGCTTGCATTTACAGTTCACATAACTTCCATCATAGAATGCCTAATTATTTTTAAAAATTTAACCATACTAATTAAAAATTAAAAATATAGAACTTTTATCATACCAACAAAAATACGCCCCTGTGAAATAGAATCGAAAAATACGCAAATTTCAAAACGCGCGAGAAAGACGAAGATATAAAGCGAGATCGGCAAAGATAAAACGAGCTTCCTTTAATTCTGTTTAATTCGAAAAGACCGAATCGTTACGTCTGTCGCCATTAGAAAGCTCTAATGCTTTCAATTCAGACATTACGAGAGAAAGCTTTTGTTCGACATTATCGGAAGTCCAATTAATGACGTATCTGATGCTTTTTAGATCTTTTCATTGAGTAGTTGGAGCTTGTACGCGGATTGTGGACCACTGAACTTTTATTGGCGCAGTCGGTAGAATTCGATATATTACCTGTTTTAATGAATGTGTGTTTATTACACCATGCAACAAAATTTTGCATTGTTTCTGTTTATATAAATGTGAGTAGCATTTAAGTTAGAGTTTTAAAGCAATATCTTTTTTTTAGAGCTTGTCAAATAAAATAATATATTTTTTCTACGCCCTATCTTTAAAGTACCTTCTATTTCACTAATTTGTAGCATTTAAAATGACTGTTTATGGTTAGAGTAAAAAAAAGTAAAAAAGCGTTAAAAAATGTGCCATAACGTTGACTTTATTTCACGCTATCCATAAGCTAAGATAGTTGATTAGTGCAGTTGTTCCATACCTTTACCGGAAAAAATATCAGTCACCTTTCACTTTGACGAAAACAAATTTGTTTATAGTATCAATAATTCGATTTGTTTTGATTTAGTAATTTTTTCAATATTATTATGGATTGTGAAGATTCTGAGTTTGAAATATGTACTCCCGAAGAAATTATAGAAAAGACAAATGTGGCTACATTAAATTTGCTGCTTGAGATATCCGAAGAAAATTATCTAAACAAATATGACACATTTATGAAATGGCGGAACCAGAATAATATTCGTAGCTTTACAGAGCGGGTGATATTATGTCCAGCTATTCTAAACTAAAAGCAATTATTAATGATAACGTTGATATAAATAAATATTCTAAACTAATAGCATTTCTGAAGGAGTTTACGTAAAATATTCCAAATTACTATTTTGATTTTATTATTTGTATAGGGCTGTAGAAAAAAGATTGTATGCAACATATGCATAAAGTGTCTTTTTTCACTCACGGAATTGCCACACTTGCCCCACGGCTTGTGCGGTCAACTTTGAAAATAGTACCACTTGCATAAATTACTATTTTAAATACCTTCTATTGGCAAATACAAGTAAACTTAAATGTTTGTTTTATAAGTTTCATCACAATGCATTACATTATCCAAATACAAACTGGAATTAAGATATATAATGCGTGGCATTCTAAATTATACTCTTCACAGATTAACAAACCGCTTTAACTTTCATTTTCAATCAAATTTTTTTCAGAATCGAAAGCCTTCATCGTCTTATTAAGCTTGATTTTCCAAAAATTTTAAGTTTATATTATTGTTTTTTTTTTTAGTTAGAATTTTTTTAAATATTTCATCTTTGGGGGCGTCCATTAATTACGTGAGGTGTTCAAGGGGGGGGGGGGGATAAAACTAAATCTTTCTAAATCACACTTGGGGGGGAGGGGGGGTTTTCGTAAATCTCACGTAATTTTTTTTCTAGTAGAAAACGGTGTAAAATTGCGTGAAAGTAAAGTTAAATTATAGTAAAAGTATTTCTAGAATAAAATATGGAAAAATCTTATAATTATGTTTATTTATTTTTATTAATTTCCATTTAAGTATTTATCATTTAATTTTATTAATGTGATTTTAAATAATTGCAACACTCTCAAACACTAGTCTTTGGTAGTCTTATATAAAAGTAATGGAACATATTTTGTTTTTGTTTTTTTTTTTAATAATTCAACACATTTACACCCAAAACACGAATTTTGAAAAATCTCACGCGAGATTAGGGAAGGGGGGAGGGAGTTAAGGAAAATCTTACCAAATCTCACCAGGGGGGGAGGGGGAGTCAAAAAATCCACGTAATTAATGGACGCCCCCTTTCCTTAACCTCCTCCCCAACTTTATTTAAATTTTTTTCAAAATTAATAGGCCTCATCTTCTTATAGAGCTTGATTTTTACTAAAAATTCCATGTTGATATCGCTTTTCATTTTGGATTTATGATTTTTTTTATTTAAACCCCCCTTAAACCGCCCATTTTTAATCAGATTTTGTTTCAAAATCAAAGGCGTTCTTCTTATAAAGCTTGATAAAAATTTCATGTTGATATCGCTTTTCGTTTTTAATTTAGGATTTGATTTTTTAATTTCAACCTATCTCAACCCCCTTTTTTTAATCGGATTTTTTTAAAATCGATAGGCTTTATCTCCTTGTAGAGCTTATTTTTTCCTTAAAATTTTCGTTTTTAACTTATCGTGCAGACAAAAAAGCGACACCCGGACAAACGAACAAAGTAAATCTGTAATACTCTTCACAGACTACTGTGTGAAGAGTTTAATAATAATATAATCAAGGTTAAATAACAATAAAAATTGGTACATTAAAAAACTGAAAGTCAAAGTTTTGAAAATTATTTAATAGGTAATCAGTACCTCGGAAGTAAACTGCACTGTCATTCTAATCAACTTTTTGGTAGAGCAGAATAAATGTTGTTTGGACACTTTTGTCGTCCATATTTACATTTATCAATTATATTTCGACAATAAATGCAGTTTGCCCCAATTATTGTCATAATATATATTGTCTTCATAGCATCTCCTCTTTATTTTATATCATTGATTAAAAAGTTCGTATGCCCCGCCCTACTTTGTGACGTCACTGTGTGCGTTACGCAAATTCAGGTGATTTAAGTGATTTTATCCAGGCCTATTGTTTGTTTCCTACGTTTCACGGATTTGTTGACGTATAGACATCTCTTTTTAGCTAAAGATTTTCGCGAAAACTTCTCGCTACCCCGGGCCCACTTATAAAAGTGCGCAACGAAGAGGCAGTTAGCCAGAGCACAGTAGCGTACCCAAAAATAGACATTAATACGTATGAAAATAATAAATTTATTAAAATTAAATTAATA